CTTGGATCTTCCCAATATACCCTTTGCTGGTTGTAGGCACGCTGGCTGGCACTATACTTCCTGCCCAACCTGAGACGCCCAGCTGGAAGATATTCATCGGGGCGATATTCTTCCAGGGGCTCGCGTGGGTCGTCTCCTTCCTGCTCTATGGGCTCTACATGCAGCGCCTGATGACGAGTTCTCTGCCCTCTCCCACCACGCGACCAGGAATGTACGTTTCTGTTGGTCCTGCAGGTAAGTCCATACCCGATAGACGAATGCTCTATTGGAAGATTCTAACAGCACTAGGTTACACTGCTGCCGGACTCCTCTCCCTTGCAAACCAAGCGCCGTCGCTCGTTGCCGAAAACTACTTTACGAACACCGTAGTCCCAGACGGCGAAATCGTACGCATAATTGGCATCATGTCAGGTCTCTTCATCATACTGTTCGCATACTGGTTCTTCATTATAACAACGATCGCCGTCATAGTGGGATCACGTAGGATGTCGTTCTCGTTGAACTGGTGGGCATTCATTTTCCCGAATGCAGGACTCACACTTGCAACCATACAAGCAGGAAAAGTGTTAAACAGCGAAGCTATCAACGGTGTCGCGAGCGCATTGACCATCCTACTGGTCATCATGTGGTTTGTCACGGCAGCGTTCTGCATTCGTGCCGTGTTCCTCGGACAAGTCTTGTGGCCAGGAAAGGATGAGGACAAGACTATGGAGAGGTTGGCATGGGGTTGGCAGGACAACAGGGGAAACCCAGAGGCTGGCAAGATCAGGCCTTAATGTTTAATGTTGGACATAATGGTAATCTTTGAGCGTGGCGTAAGGTTACTGGAGCGTTGTAATATAGCATGATACCCTTTCGAATTGCGAACTGTTCTGCAAGCGTGAATTGACCCAGCTGTCTATGAAATCGCGCTTTGCAAGCTTAACGAGATCAAAGCTCACCACACGAGGTGCACAAGCTATACTCTTTACGCCGCTGACCATGTGGACCATGGGGACTGGATAATCCAGGCCGTTCGGGATCTGGGGTGCGTTGGCGCGTTCTGGCTTCGTCTAGTAGCCTTGGTGCACTTACCATGTGACCTCGTATTGGACAGTTGGCGTTGAGCGGGATTGCTTGGGTCCAAGGATTCCCGCCCTCATTACTACTGCAACAGTGGATAGCTCTCCTCCACAGGAGTGACGTTTCATTACAAAGCTATGATGCCCTCGCCCGAACGCTTCAGAGCCATCAGAGCCTGCGGGACCAGAGTTAGTACCAAGTTCCACCCCCTCGGATGACTGCCAAGAGGTGCATTTGCTTAGTGCACACTCGTTATCGTGAACTACTCTGTCCAACGCTGATGGTTTCTTCCCAGAGGCAAAATGTGTGGTGAGTCGTTCTAGCCGAGTGCCACGGTTCAACAGAACTGCACAGAATCATACAGAAGGTCTCGGCTGCATTCTCGGAAGCGCCCAGGGATTGCCCAGCCGAGGCGTTCAACGGGAAAACACCACCAGCCGTCATCGCAAACCGTGCACACACCATGGTCGTCCGCATGTTTTCGATCGCTGCAAACATCGACTGTGGAAGCACTCGGTCAATATATCACTGTCGGTGCTATGCAAGTCCCGAACGCGACCTAAGTCACCGGCCGGACATAATTCATAAACTCTAAAAAGTGAATAATCGCGAGATCTGTAAACGCCGATCTTCCGAAACCCAGCGTCCCTCACAATAATTCCTTATCACCCTCCACTTCAACACCATACATCATGCGCCTGCCTAGAATTACACAACGATAACCATCGCATGGTCTAGACCCCGCGGGCAAGGCGACTTCGTCTGGCTAACTACTAGTAGCGCCGCCTACGCGCTGCTTGGCCGGCTGGCGGAGAGGAAATTGGTGCGGGGCTTCCTTGTCGACGCACGTATGTATCCATATCGACCACTTATCGCCGCTCGTCGGACACAACGGAGCGGCATAGTAAGCTGCTCGGGGAGACTTGCCACGCGTTGCGCATATCGTAGGCCGAATTAGCGCCTTGGGCTGACACGGCGGAGCTGGCGTTAAGGCACCCTTGTGTGATAGCGCGCTATAATTGGCTGCGGGAGTGACGGGTGGACCATGCGATGCTTGGGTGTCGGGGATAGGGTTTTGGGTTGGTGGCCTGGGTGGGTGCATGGGTGGAGTTGGGGTTTGGGATGCCGCATGAGCAATGGCATTCTCAGGTGAGCCGTGGGAATCTGCGACAGTATATAGGCAGGCGGTATCCCCACATGAAGGGAGAGACGCAACATCGCAGATTTCCTGTATCAGACCCCCAGATACCAATAACTTCAAATTACCATCTACTCTAGTCTATCAGACACTACCACTCTACCACTACCATCATACAACCTCGCATGCAACCCATCCTACCAACAACCATGTCTTCACCCGCAACTCAATACGTCTACGTCCCCAACCTCGTTGGCGGACAGATGCTCAGGATTCCCATCGAGGACGTCGAAGCCGAGGGCCAAATCTCCATTGCCCAACAGCCCATCGCGAGCCCAACCCTCTCTTCACGATACGTCCGCGACTCGTCACCATCGCCAAGCATGGAGAGCGTCGACGACACCGATGAGTAATAAACTCATATACCAAGGCGACGCACGAAAGACGAAGAAATGACGGCAAGCCTTGCACTGGTCTGCAGTCCAGCAAGGCGGGAACAAGCTAGCAGCGGACGTCGTTGCCAAGCAGCCTAGTCGCAGCCTCGAATCCCCCACGAGTCAAACTCAGGGAGGACTGACATCATCGCCCCCATTACCCTCACTGCAATCGCAACATTTCTTCCGAGAATGACGACAGTCGGTGCCGTTGGTTCCGAGATGCCACCGGAGAAAACTTTCAAATTGCGTGGAGTTGGGCGTGTGGGGAACACGGCAAGCAAGGAGAAGGATCTTTGGCTTGGCTGGAGTTGGAAGGAAGCTTGGGGAGTGTGCCGATCGGAGATGGATAGGGCAGGCAGGCACGCGTTGGCTTGGCGTGGGGACTGGGATGGATCGATCGGTAGTCTTGGTTACTTAATGTCTATTATTTTATTTTTTTGTGGTACTTGTTGGTCACTTGATCTTTTCTATGCTGCATGGGGATGTGAATTGTGAATTGCGGTGTGCGTGCGTGTGCTCTGCATGCATTGACTTTGGGGTAGAAGAAGCAAATGGAAGTGATATTCGGGTTCTTGCATATTACTTATTTCCGGTGTGCATGTGAGACGTGTCGTGTATTATTCACATCACGATGACGGGGAAGAGTAGCAGTGGTTCCGAGCCAATAGTTGACAATACGTTGAAGTCATTCAAGCACCTCATACAAGGAGAAACCGAACAGGTCAAGAGCATACATCGACGCCAGGTCACCTATCTCGTAGGTTTTCATGTTGATGTAGGCTGCAGGTCTGTTCGGTTTTTTTCTTGGTTGACGTGCAAGGACTCCTTTCTTGCACTATTGTAGATGTAGACTTAATGTACTCTGGAGATGTTAAAAAACTTGCAATCAACGTAGGTGGAAAACAAGTGGTGGACTCATCCAGAACGAGCTTCCGACTGAACTAAGACAACTTGGAAGAACATGTGCTTGCTTTTACGTGGCCACCGGCGCTTCTATACATGGTCAGATGACAGATCATCTCCCTGTGTTCGTCTGCCCGAGGTACGTCTTTCCATTCGCCCCTTTCTGGGTCTGGGAAGGCTAGGTCGCGGATGGATACTTTGAAGTAGATGGTTAGTCGTGTGAGATACTGATGGTACCGTGGCGCGGGGAAGAAGATACCGCCTTGCATGGCTAGTGGGTCGCGGAAGAACCTAGGTGATATGGGAGATTTTATGTGAGGTAATTCGATGTTCGCTGTCGATACTGACTGTGCTAAGACGCTTTTACGAATGTAGCACTGAAATGAATTCCTTGCGTAGAAGAAGCTAGCGGCTTCATCGTGAAGTTGCGTACACGTTCGCAGTAGTGCAATGCCCGTAAATTTCGTGTGTATCATAGGAGATAGTACGATGCAGTCTCGGGGTTTCAGCAGATGGGCGTATATGCAGTTTCGCAACTTCGGCGGGATGCTAAGCAAGCTGTGTTTCTGAAGATCGACAGGGACACTCTTCGAGACAGTACGCGATCGTCGTGCCGACTCCGTATTAAGATCCCTATTCGAGCAATGGTGCGTCCTTTTACTGATCTGTCCGGTCAGCTGTAATGGTGTCGGCTGCGCGACTGCAGTTGGGCGTACAAGACCGAGTGCTGACGAAGCTTGGTTTCCCATAGCCGTAGATCTGTAGATCAAACTTAGTACGGAAACAGATTAAGAGAGTCGCGTGGATCGTTTCTTCTCTCGCACTTGGAAAGGGCATACGGGTGTCACACCCCGTAGACCCCTAGGTATGCGCTGGAGGCAGTCACCGGGAAAGCATTCCAAGGCGGTGCGTTGGATGCATTGTTGATAGCCAAAGTGGAATTTTTGAGCTAACTGGAGTCTTGTCTCTCGGTATTTCCCGTTGCGATGATGAATTTGCTGTGTGAGCTGTACTTCCTGAGCTCGACAAACAAGCGGCAGGGTCACATCCTATATCTTTCCAAGGTTGCATTGATTATCGAGGGTTTTCCTTGTTCGATCGTGTTTTTGGTGGAAGTAGATGACATACAAGCCATTAGCGTTAATATAATGAAGAGGGTGAGGATGTGAAGGGCTGGAGGAGCTGCTGAGTGGTTGAACGACCCAGGCAACGCACGGACGGCTCACCAAAACACTCCCGAGGTCGTCACGTCATTACGAACAGACTCTAATCCATCAACTCTCTGATATCACACCTGGGCAGCCTACAGCGCTGGCAGAGCACTTGCGATACAAGGGCACTATCATGAGAACTTTGTTATTGATTCAACCCTTCTAGGCGTCGAGACCTGCCCAGGTAGTGCGTACGCGAGTGTCACTCCTTCTACATCGGTCATCTCGCGCACCCGAAGTATGAAATTTCTAATCCCAGAACCGCTCTACAATCTCCTGGGGTAATGCTCCAGTCCTCTCCTTCGTCTCATACACCTTCATATCGTCACTGCCCATTACCACGAACACTGCGGACCGATGCTCGGTACCCTCCCCAACGGTCTTTCGCAACAGCTGGAGCAGTGCTACAACCTTCTGCAGCGCCTCTTGGTTACCCTTCTCCCACTTCTCGAAACCCTTGAAGCTGTCTGACTTGTTCCCAGCTTGAGTGACGTCCTTTATTCGAATGTCCTTCTGCCTGTATGTTCCGTCAAAGTGTGTGTTGTGCTTCCCACCGAGACAGCAAGTAGGAGTTCTGCCAAACCACATCTGATCAATGGGTCGCGAACTTGCATTACTCTTCAGCTCCAGGATCTGGTATTGGGGCACCACCTTACCCTGAATAAGAACAGTAGTCTTCTGCGGGCCTCCGTGCTGGGTGATTTCAACGTCGTGCCCACCAGGAACAAAGGTAGGAAGAGTACTCGGTGGTGCATCGGGGTCGCGCGGCGACTCGATCGTGGGGCCGTATGCGTCGGCCTCATGGCGCACAACGATGGTGAGGCTACCTAGCTTGTACTTGAGTAAGCGATGATGGCTCGTTGCACCGTGAACCTCGGAATCTGTGAGGGCGCCTTCGAAGTTACGACCGTAGGTGTTGGTAGCGGACCTGACTTTTGCGTTGCGTACTTTCCTTCCGATGAAGAGGGTGTTTTGCTCGAAGTCGAGATCAAGATGAAACGCTTGGAAGGAAGCGTTTTTGACGCATTTCATAAGGTTCAGCATCGTGGTCCGGTTGATCACAACGTCCACGTCGTTGAAGCGGGTATCAGGGTTCATCGTCGCGATGGCCTGGAAAGCGGGCTCGTATTGTTGCTCGGGAGCACGTTCCGCATGTTCATCGCTGAAATGGTAGCCAGAGTCGGGCGCAATTATGAGTGGGAAGCCTTGAGGGGTTGGCCTCTTGAACGCTGGCGGCGACCCAGGAACAGATATCGTGGACATTGCTTCGTCCATGAAGCTGTAACTACACAAAAGTGCGTACCCCTCAGCAGAGGAGACCTCGTCCGAGCTGGGGTATATATCCTCGTAGGTACCCTGCCATACGATCTTGTCTGTGTTGACGTTGGCGTACATGTGGGAGTACCATTCTTCACCCTTGGGCTTCGAGAATGTTTGAAGGTTCAAGTCCATGTAAACGCGTTTCCCGCTGGTCCTGTCGATATAGTGCGTCCCATGGACTGTTGATGTTGAGAATACAGGGTTTGAAGAAGCTCGAGGGCGTTCGAACGCAGGTGGTCGGGCGACGGTGTCCATGTCTTTGAAGAAAGCGTTTCGGTCCATTTCTCGGGCATAGGTCGATCAAAGTAGTAAGGTGAGTAGCGGGCTCACTTGCTAGAGTGTAAGTACCTAGGTAAATGATAAGGGGTCTTGTAGTATATAAAGATCGTGAGCGAGAATTTAGCGCCCAGGCACCAGAAACGCTGAGTGGCCATCGCGCTGGCACGGACACATAGCGTGAATGTCAGGCTCATATGGGGGCTTCCTACTTAGACCAGTCCGCAGGAAAGAACGCTAGAGCCCCATACTATGTATATCGAGATGACCAATTGATTGCGAAAGCTGTCGTGGCTATACGTTAGTGAGCGATTACGCTTGACATCATTGCGAATTGCTCAAGATGTAGCAAAGAATAGCCCGAAGATATCTGAATGTGTTGTCAAAAATGCACTGACGTCGTTAGTGACGGCTAAATCGTCTTATTTTGATCACCATAATCTGCGCCTGGAGGTCTTGAAGAAGTCTGTGACTGAGCGTCGCTTGTGTTTGGTAGTAATCTCGTGCCTTCGATGATCCTTAATGATGGCAAAGCGCCGTGAGACAACTTGTCCTTGTGGTCTTGTAGGACGTTGGTCTCTTCTTGATAGTAAAACTTGTATGACTTCATCATCTCCAGTTCCCATCGTGTTTAGTGGAACAGTTGTGCGGATTTTGGTGCGCTTTGCCCTCCTAATTTTGCGACCTCTGTCATGTGTGCTATCATTGTCGATAACCAGTTTCGTTTTGCTTCGTTTAGGTTGAAAGACTGGATCGTCTTGCTCTGAATGAGGTGCAATCGCTGCCTTGCTTTTGCTCTCCCATGGTTGACCCTCCTCTGCAAAACCTCTTTCTTTAATTGGGTAAAGAGGCGTTTCAGCTGGAGTGCAGTCAAGTTCCGTCGTCTCCAAGCCTCCAGTACGTTCATGGGTACTTCCTTCAAAAACATCGCATCCTCTTCGTCAAGTAACAGCGTTTCGGTAATTTCCACCTCCTCGCCACAGTCAAAATCTAGCTCCACATCGGGAATCTTCTCACGCCAGGCTCGACCTACCGCTCGGCGATAAGCAATCCTGGCATCTTCCAGCCTTACCTTCTCATCGCGTAACATATCCAGGAACGCTGGCTTCACCACGCCGTCTCTGAATTCTGCAGCAATACCGTCTTCCCATGGTGCCCAGCTCGAATAGTGATGACACATATGCTCAAACCGAGTACGCGTCTTACGCAAGGCGTCGGCAGACTCTTTTACGTCATCACGAAGGCGACGAAGGCTTGTGGGTGGCTCACAGTCAATTCGTCGGGTTATGCCTCTCTCATCGCCTTTGGGAAGTCTTGTTTCATCAATTGAATCAGACTCTATAACACCCGCTCGCAGCCAGACTGGTAGCAGTGATGCTCCGACGTCCTCCCATGCATCTCTGCACGCTTGCTCAGCCAAGTTGCAATCTCCCCATAACTGGGTTTCTGCATCTAACAGTCGATTTAGATCTACGCGAGTAAGATAAGCTCGGGTAACAAGCGTTCTCCGTTCCTCGAATTGCTCTGATGTGGGTGCATTTGATGATGCTTCCATCGCCGTATCGAATTTCGCTAGTTCTTCATCAGATCGTTCCGCATCCTTCGCCGCTCGTGCCTTCATCTCTCCTGTCTCAGCTCCATTCTCATCGATTTTTGTCCAAAGACTTTTATAGTGGCGTTCTGCGCGAAATGCTTTACTGATGCACTCTCCTAACTCTTGCGACACTGTGATTGCGGGCGCGATATTCTTGCCATCGTTAATGGATACAAGGTGAGATGTGCTCGAGGGAAACAGCCTGGCTGCGTCTCGTTCGCCTTTTGTCGACCAATCCTGGACGGCGAATATGGTACCGGTTTCCACCGCTCTCTTCCCGCGTTCCTTCGTAGCATCATTTCCACCGCACTCTGTAGCTCTTGAGTCTAGTTCATCACGTAAGATGTTGTCTCCCGAGCTGGGACGGAAAGATTTGTCTGGACTCTTAGTGCCTTCTTGATGATCTTGCTGAGCTGGTATAGTTGCCGAAAACGTACCACCCCGCGTACCAACATCTCCGTGTGAGTGGTGGCTCGCTCCGGATTGATGTCTTCCTGCGCTGGTGGTAGTTGAGCTAGCATGGTAATGATGATGATGGGTATTGTAGATGATGATGCCCTGTTTTGCGACATAGCTGTGGATTTGCTCGCCAGTTGGAACAGGCTGTTCAAATGCGGCTGACGTACGGTTCTCCATGCCGCATGTATACCCTGCCACTCAGTGAGGTCAACCCGACAACGAATTTCCTCCAGCGTCGCATGTTCTAGACATGTAGCCAACAAGGGCTGGATACATGGCCCGATACAAACACACATTACTGCTCTTGATGTCTTTGTCCGCTCAATCCTCTTTGTCTATGTAAGCATAGCGACGCCACTTTGACACCGAATCTGCGAAGAAGCCTACGTCAATTAGGCTTGCTCAGTCTGTTAAGCATGTAGTTTGAGGTGCAACGGCTTTACATATCTTGTCTATTGCATGGCGGAGTTAATCATCCCAGGGCTGCATTCTGTGTCTGTGCATGGGACAACACCGCAACCACGTTGGCGCAGTGGATCCCCAAGTGCAGAGCTTCATCCATTTCGTGAGCGCGAGGACCGTCATGAAGGCAGTGACCAGCCACGCTACCCACCTCACACCTATGAGGACGAGCGTACCAGACGTGCGCAAGAGGTGATTGGCCAGACAGTCGTGACAGAGGAGAGAGTCACACGTTACGGAAGTCAAGATATGGCGAACGGGACCATCGATCTGACCGTGATACGGACCCTATGCCTCTTAACAGATACTATGCGGACAGTGAGCATCGTAGAAGCGATCGCCGGTATGATTCGCCGGATAGTAGGGAACAAGGACGTGGCGGTAGGCTTGGCGCTTGGGGACGTGGTACACAGAGAGGCCGGGGAGGAAGAGGGGCATGAGCTCACTACCGCCAGTACGTCGTAAAGGACTTGGCGTGCCTGTGCCATCGAAAGCGAGTAGATGCATAAGATGCGCGTCGGATTGCGCGACGGATCTCGTGGGTCGTCCGAATATCAAATAAGTAAAACTAGTCCTTCTCAATTTTGTGTTCTCCTCATTTACTGAGGTATCAAAGCGGTTTGGAATGGAGGCGTTGCATTGAGATGAAGCACGAACAAAAGATGGCGACGCGACGCGTCATACTGTAGATTGAAGACCGCGCTGTCCTCAAAATGCGATGACGCGCCGAAATTCCGGAGCCTTGCCGTTTGAAGCCAAGCGTTGGCGCATGGGCCATGTCCCCGAGGCCGCAGGTTGACTGTGTGAATTTCCACGCGTCAAGCTCTATTGCGTTCACCTTTTGCCGCAGTTCATCTCCGAACAACCACATGCTATACTGAAGGTATACATTTACATCTCCGTATGTTGTACCTAAGTATGGACAGCGCTACGAGCATCGCTCGTGCCGACCGCAGCCCCTAATGCAAGAGTCGCTTGAGAAATGCTTGTTCATCACGGCTTACCATGAAAAGAGACCTGCACATTGTTGCTGTTTCTTACACTGTTCTGCTAATGACACATTAGATGACCTATGTGTTGTACGCTATAAGGCATCTTTAGAACCAAGCAAACAGCTTCCTCGTTTACGACCAATCATGGCATCGGCATCGGTCGATCCCGACTCGTTCCCCAGATGTTCACACGATGCGTCCATTCCTCCAATCTTACCGAATTCGGATTCCAAGCTGGCCAAAGCGAGTTCCCGCGCGTGACGGGCCCACGATTGTACCGAACGCCCGCGATCGATATCGACGTCACCTATACATCCTCAAACCACCCAGACCAACCTTGTGTCGCGGCAATATGATGCCCACGAGCGTTTTTGGTTTCGCACACTACTATCCCGATTCCTCTTGCTCGTCGCCATTTGATGCAAGCAGCTCTTCGTACACCCATACTTCCATCGCTCTACGCTCTCCATCTCTCGTCCGCTACGAGTTCGTCCACCTGAGGCCCATCAGGCCCCTATCACGCTTCAAGCTACTTGGGAAAGCAGCAAAGACGGTGTACTACGATGGTCTGACACTACATTAAGGCCACGACCGTGCTGGGCATCCTGGCTCCTGATCGCATCTTCCGGGTCGGCATCATAATGCTTAACAATCACCACCGCGGATGTATTTACCCCACTTGTCGATGCGTCTCCGCCTGCTTCCATACGCGCGCTCGCTAGCGGTTATGATGGCGTCGCGCTGGTCGAGCGAATTGTCTCTATCCCTCTTTCGGGAGACCGGAGGCGGCGAGATGTTATACTTCTCCATGTATCCCTTCAGGTCTGTTTCACACTGCGATTCTATCTCCTCGGCATCTTGCCTCTTCTTTGGCTCCGAAATGATAGCCTTTTCTGTCCTTCCCTTGCTCGTCTGTGGCTCTTCGGGATTCTGGCCCGTGTTCTGCGTACCAGGGTCACCTTGCGAAACCACCTGTCGTGGTTTGTCTATCACCTCTGCCATACGACTCTCAGCACCAGCGTCCGCAAAAGCTTCACGTGGAATAGAGGTTGCATGCACCGTTGAAGTTCGCTTGTTGACTTCATCAGCTTCTGCCCCAGTAGCTGCGCTTGCTAGGCCGGGCTTATGTGCTTGCAGACTGGTCAGCTCACTGGCGCGATCCAGAGCGCCCGTTACTTCAGCGAGCAGTTGTTCTATCTTCTGCAAAGGTGTAGCTGTGATCTTTGAGACATCGAGAACTGGTAGTACCGCCACACCTTCAGATCCAGCGACTGGCTGCCTTTCTGAGGGGTTCACAGGAGCGCCACCCGCATTATCGATCGCAGGCTCTGCCGTCTGCTCATCAACAAGTTCATCCCTACCCAGCTGTTCGAGCTCTGCCTCGTCACTTCCAGCAGGGTGTGTTGATCCCAAGACACCAACAACAACTTCGTTTTGCCACCTTTGGATACGAGTGCGATCGAGCTGCTTCAGCGACATCTTGTCCCACCACTCTATGTCGTATACAATAGTTGCCACTCCATCGTCCCTACTGTCTGCCACGGTAACATTTGCAGCTCTTGCTCTGTCAAAAGCATCCTGTGCGGCGTTCTCGGCCTCCTCAAGTGTTACGATGACGTTGTGCCAGCCCTCAAGCCACTTCTGACTGAACTCGATGCGAAAGTCAACATTTGGACGATTGACCTGCTTGGCGACATACTCTTGGAGCTTTTTCTCGTATCCAAGCCGGTATTTATCGTGCTTCTCGCGGGCTACTTCCAACGCGGCTTTGGTGAATCTATTCCGCATGCCAAGAGCTGGGCGTGTAGCCTCGACAGATTGCTTCATATTGGCCAGCTCTAGTCCTTGTACCCGCGGCACGGAATTTGGGGTGACAACATCCGTTCCGCCGTCCTGACTCTGCTCCCAAGGAAGACGCTCCAGCTCTGTGGTCGCAGGAACTAGCTTTGTTTTCACGAAAACATCTTCTTGGATGGCATTCACCTCTTCCACCAGTTTCACCCAGGTGTTCTGTATCTCCTGGAGATATCGTGGTAATTGCTCCCGTTCCTTTTTCGCGGCTGCGTGCTTGTGTGCTATGTCGTTGCAATGCTTCACCAAAACAGTGGCTTTGGATTCTTCCTCTGGTGACAGCACCTTTTCTCCTAACTCATCGAAATAACTATCGGCTTCTCTCTTCGCGTGTGAATGTTCTGCAGTTAGGCGAGCGTCTTCCGCAAGTAAGTGGTCCAATCGCCGCCCGACCGCTTCCCGTGTATGTCGAAACTTGCGGCCAGCCTCGATTTGCTTTTTGAGTTTTTGAGAGAGCTCGTGTGAGAGCTGTAATGCAAAAGTACCCTCCTCTCCAGCAGCACCCGTAACTTTAACCATGCGAGCCGGTCCACGAGTATATATGTGGTCACCGTCATCTCCGCCGACCCACATCGACGCTGGGCAATCTTCCTTTCTCTCCGTTTTGCCGCTCTTCCTGAGCTCCTTTTGCGGACTTTCTTTCATGATCGACTCGATATACCTTTCAGTTATGACCGCAGATTTGGGATCAGGTGGATGTGTCATGCGCGAATGCTCTCGTTCCTCTAGCGTTGAGCTAAGTCGTCCTTCGCCGTATGGCAAACCCGAAACGCCTGAATTTGATTCAGGCAGTGGCGCAGGCGCTGATTTTTCACCTTGGGTTGTTCCCGTTGTCGAGCGATCTTTGATCTCGCCGGACGCCCTTCTTTTGTGACTTTTCATCGCGTTTCCTAGGGCTACAAGGCTTGAGGAGATGTTGTCAATAACGAGCCCAACACTATCACTCGTGTGACTGGGGTCGTCGGTCAGTTTTTGTCGCTTGTTGCCAAGAGGACGATCTGTACCAGAACTTCCAATGGCCGCCCGCAGGCTCCTTCTTCGGGGAGGAGTACCATCGATCTCTGAATCAGCGCTTGTGTGGGACATATCCTGCTGTCGCACGGGCTTGAGCTTGGAAATACCATCACCTCCAGCAGCATTCGAGTGGTTTTCGTGGCTTTGACAGTCCATACTGTGAGATTTGGTTCCGATGGCAGCCTTTGTCTTTGTAGTATGTCCTGTAAATGTGCGCGATTCCAGGATCCGGCAATGGCCCAAGCGCGTCAAACGTGCTCTTTGTCCGTGTGTCGAGAAGAATGGGCGTACAAAGCAAGTCAAAGCCGATGGCTAATCTCAAGATCTGCTTCTTGTAAATCCAGGAAAGAAGATCATAAGTGCGTGTTACTGCAGCTGCTAGCGAGGCGGTGCACTCAGTCCTGTACGTGATTCCACGCATTATGACCTCAAGAACCATGGAGGTCACGGGTAACGATGAGCTATTGAGCTGTACAATCGTGCTGATGTGGAGGACGAAATCTGATGTGCGCTCAATAGCGACAGCGAATCCAAAGCCGTGTTGGAGATCGACTTCGAATATTGCGCCTTCTTCCAATTCTGTTCAACATACGGCTTTGCATCTCCTTACACGTGATTCACGAGAAATAAATTCTCCAGTGAAGGAACACTTTCTCTTCGCGAGCGCATAGACCAAATCCCGTTGCCTGCGACCCGCTCCCATAAGTGGTAAGCTCCGAGCTTCTCGTGCCCAGAAACCGCAGCTTTAATATGAGAGAATACCGCTCACCCCCTGCTCTAATCACTTACACGCCCTTCTACCCTGCTCATTTCCCACGTTCGCCTTCCAACGCAACCCATTCAGTACCTGCAAAACTGCTCCACTACCAAGGTCCAGAGACGCTCGAATAATGGCTGCGCAAGCTGATCGCGACACCTATGGTAGGACCCACCCAGTTCATGATCTCTCAATGCAGCTTACTGACGTTTCGTAGATGACGCAGTCCAACGTACTGCTCACGTAGGTCGAGATTCCGGCTTATCAACTCCCCGTTCGCCTACACATGAGTCGCAGCCTCCAAGTACCTCGAAACTGTCTGAGACTTCGACCGTTAACAACGTCGCCGTCAATCTCGAAGGGTCGCATGACGCAAAGATTACCAATGTCAGCTTCAGCCATGGCGAGGACAATAGTTCTATCGGTAACTCCAATGCCAGCTCCGAAGTCCCAGGTTAGTGACTGTCTCTCCTCGCGGTTAAAGCCCCCCTAGTGCACGATTCGTATCTAGATCTGCTTCTCGCACGGCATCTCACAAGAGGGAGGAATCGAACAACCGTCACCCAGCAGTCCACATTACTTTGGGGCCGTTTATAAGTCCGGTTTCCACTCTGAATGTAGACACCAGTTCATCTGTTCGATTATCACTTTGTGTGAGATGACGGTGTTGTCGAGTTGTCTAACGCCTGGTTGCTGCGGTAAATGATGCTAACAGATGTTTTGTAGGCACTATATCAGTACCCGTTGAACTTTCGGAACTTCATCCTGGTACAGCGTCCCCCGTTGCGCCCGCCACCTCGGCGCAGACCGGTCAACCTATACCACCGCAAGTGAACGAAGGCGATCATGTTCACTTCCCCATTTCTCCAACTACGCCCTTAGCCGTTGGTGTTCGAGCAAATCCGCCGACAGCAAGACCAACAATAGGGCGTGTTGAACAACGACTTATCGATGCCATAGAAGAGGCTTTCGCTGACCCTACGTTCCCCTGGCGTATCCGCGATATGGAGCCAGAAGCTCCAATTCGAGGCTTGAAGATCATTGTCGACTTCATGGAACAGATTGCAAAGCCAGTGCATTCCAGCAGCTTCAACGTTGGCGACCTTGTTGATATGATAGTAGCCGAACCGACTACTGATCAAGGCGTTCACGAGCGTTCTGACGACCACCTCGTGAATACAAACTACGGGATCTTCGTCATAAAATCGCGGCCAGGTATAGTTGTTGAAAAGTTCGAGGAATACTGTATGGTCGCCGAATTAGGCCGTCGCAACAATAGAATTCTGGACGGACTTTCGCTCATGGGCCTCATAGAGCGCATGGGAGTTCTACCATCCGACGCTGCTCCATTTGATCTTGCTACTCTCTCGGAAGACCACGAGCTCTATCGCCTGATATATGACCCTGTAAGAGTTGCGGAGAATGTTGGTCGCGGTAAACCGTTCGATCAGTGTTCTATTGTTCAGCCTGATTGTCAGCATCCTTGCAGGTACACCGATCTTCTGGTTCTTAAGGGCAGGCTCGCAACTAAGGATATGGCAAGAATTCTTGCTACAATTAAACTAGCGAAACAGCTCCGGACTGAGCTGCTGAATCGGACCACAGGGCCACTCCGTGGTTACCTGCCGACTCAAAAGATATACCGTAGACCACAAGGTGCATCAACCGAGTCTAAGCGCAGAGAATACGATGAGCTCATGGGATTGCTAGCAATGCTCAAGCGCAAAGCGCGAGAGGCAACAGACACTGCAAATAATCCGCCTCCGCCCGACCGGCGCGACATCACAACAACAAGGTTCCGAGATCAAGTCATCTCACTAGGCGATACAGCCTCCGATGACGTAACGGGTACTGTGCAGACCTTTTCCTCGATGACAGTACCGACTGTGGCCAAATTCGTTGCCACGAGCAGCATTCATCCGGACCGTCGCCCCGGCATGGAAGTTTCTGCGCTCATACAAGCGATCGAGCAAGACTCCCGCATCGCCTGTGAGTCTGCCTCTAGGCAAATTATCCCTCTACAGGTTGCACGAGACATCGTGCGAATAGAATGGGAAGAGATGGCCAATGACGCTGACCTGGTTGGTGTCAATCTTCCTTCCAAAAAGCGGAAATTGGACGAAGTCGAAAAACTCCATAAGGAGGCAGACTCACAGAGCATGGGTCCTATGACGGTACTCCGGGGTATCAAACGTCTGAAACAGAAGGTGAGGGGCTCGATATTATCCGACGAGGACTCGCGCACTGAAGCAATGCGCCTTTATTCCGAGCTTGACAATGTCACCACGGGAATGGAGAAGCTGCAAGCGAAATCCACTTTGTTCCTCGATAGGGACTAAAATCTGCTCGCTGGTATCACCTGTTGTCTACAAGTCAAGGTGTTTGCTCTAATGTAAGGCACAGTGTCTTGGTCAGCCGTGTATTCTTCTTTCGGGACCCTGGAACCCCTGTTTGAAGCCTCACCCGCTATCATCTCAACGGAAGACTGGTGTTTTCCCAACCAGCAATGATCGGCTAGGAGTGGCCATTTCTCCTTGTGTTGAGTGCGTCTGACTGTTCGGGATTCTTGCTTTCACGTACGCCTTGTCTAGGGCCAACAGGGCAATCAACGCGGACCGGTCGTTGAGACTTTCGGTGTGTCGATTAATACGGATTGACATGAATATGTAAGCTCGTGGCATGCTTGATTTATGCTGCAATACATGCAAAGTTAGTAACTGAATACGTGTTCATGTTCATCTTTTCTCAGCGCCTACTTCTCCTGCCGTATGTCAACTGGGTGTCAAAGACGATCAAAGGCTGAAGAGCTTTGTTTCCTACGCTAGCATGCTGAAAAAGATCATTCAACACGGCGCAGATACAGGGGCCAAGATCCTCGACTCGGTCGGCCTCTAGATACTCTACTATTTCATTATGGTCGCGCCAGTTCAGCGACGTTGCTCTTCACTACCCCCAGTACAGAAGTCATAGTGAATACTCACCTCATCCCAGTTAGAGCTAGGTCACTCTTAGTTTATCCGAATTCGTCTAGCAAGGTTCACGAGACTTGCGCTTCCACCTGGGTATAACAGTCTGCCCTGCGTCTACGCAAGCTTTGCCCCTGCAAACGCGATTCTAGGAATGAGTGGAGGAGCTTAAAATGGGGCATTAGCCCTCCACTATCATTCAGCCGCTCATCATACTCGCGACTGCAACTTTTACTCCACTGCCGCAGCAAAGTCGCTTCTCAAAGACGTGCAACCTAGACCGATAACTACTCTCTGTTAGCGCTCCACTATGACAATCCAGTCCGAAATCGACAAGGGTAAGACAGTCTAGTAAACGGTCGGAGATAGAAGAACTAATCTTCCAGGTGATCCTACCACTCACCGGCCAGCATCACGTGATCATGACGAGATACCCGCCACTTCAGACCCCGATCCTTCGCAGAAAATCACCATCAACTCTCCTCGCGCTGATCCAGATCATGATACGGACGAAGATGGCGGGAAAGCGACAACGCAGCACCTCAGTCCCAACGACAACATCGTGGAGGCTGATGCGATGGTCGAGCAAACAGACCATGAACATGAAGTACGACAGCGCCTTCGCGACAGATACCAGGTCGGTCAAGTGTTTTGGACTTTTATCAACAATCCAGATGCTGACCTAAGCCCCAATGGCGTGGGCGGAAATCGGGACATCACACTTGGGGGCTTGCGGCTGGCAGGTTGGCGACCTGTCATTGTTCTCGATATATTTTCGGAGTTTTGCTCAGTTGCGGAGATATGTCATCCAGGCCGTCAATACTTCGACGGACTATCACTCCGTGAACTTGTGGAGCGTGGGTACGTTGTTATGGACGCCAGCGAAAGTTTTGATTACGCGTCCCTTTCCGAGGATCACCACCTCTTCCGCTCTATTGGAGAACCTTTCAGGGTTAACTATCATAATGATGAAGGAAAACAGCGGCTATTAGGATGGTCGTTAGTGCAGCCACTGCGTGTTCACAGCCCAGATTTCGAGCATATGGGTACACTCTGTGGTCATCTTACTGAGGAATCTACTGCGCGATTGTTGGCAGTTAGGAAAAGCAGTTGCCGCTTGTCAGAGACTGTAGAATCAGTATACGACCTCGATTTTACGCGAGCACCGATCCCCAACCAGCTTACGCCAGAGTATCGAACAGCAATACTGTGGATCAAGAATGAGATTCGCCGACCAGTACCTCCTCCCGGTAGTCCTGCGACCGCCAACGACGCACGTCTAGATATCAGTGAGCTTTTCGACTTCTCCTCAACTATACCCAATCGCGGGCACGCAGTCTCACCGTCTCTCATCATGAAGAAAGCCAGAGACGCGTCTTATGAATGCTTGAAATCTGCAGAAATCACCAAGGTCCAGACCGAGAGCCTACTTTATCAGGCAGAGGAGGAGTATGACGATATTCAAGCTAATTGGTGGGCATCTACTGCCGAGCGAAACAGTCTAAGGCGCAAGCGGAATGATGCCGAGGCGGAATGGGAAGTGGCATTACTCCAGGAGAAGGGCTATGGAGAGCTTTTCATTGAGCTCATAAATCTCCTCCCTGATCAGTCCCAATTCCAGGGCCAGGGTGAGGACGTGCAACTTTGCTCGACTCTATCCCGCAAGTTCACCAAGGTTCAGATCGATGTTTGGAACGCCAGAGCCTTTCTTGATCAACGTAGGCGCACTCAGCTTTCTCAGCAGCGGTCTTGCTTTGGCTGCATCGCAGATGTATCTTGAAAACATGGGCTTCATCTACGCCACGTTAGAGACTAGTTCTCGAGCATCTCATCGATTTTCAGCGAAACAACAAAGTGTGTAGAGCTAGCTATAAGGTAGTGCAATCAAGTACTTGTTGTACATACAACGTGTACTCAGAGTTTGACAGCCCATGCAGTGCCTTCGATCAATCCACTATACCTTCTGAACAGTCGTATAGCCGCTGACGAACTTGCGTATTTTAACTGTGGTCACAGCGTCTTACCCCTTCGTCATAACACCACCGCCATTAGCTCCAATAACCTGACCAGTAACCCATCCAGCCTCAGGCATACATAGTAACCCAACAACCCCAGCGACCTCCTCCAGATACGCCGGTCTTCCACCCAAATCCTTTGCCGCCGCAATCGTCTCCTCCGAATCGATACCTTCTCTCGTCGCAGCCAAAGGCGCCATGTAGTTCAGCGACCAGGCCTTCTCCAACATCTCCTTCGGGAGGCTTGTATACATGCCCGTAGCTATCGCACCTGGATTGATGGCGTTGACTGTGCAGCGTTCGGCAAGCTCGCGAGCCCAGACACGTGTCATTGCTTCAAGAGCGCCTTTAGTGCCAGCGTAGCAAGACTGCCACCAGAAGCCCATCGAGGTTGTTATACTGGAGACGTTGATCACACGACCGGATCTGTCTTTCGGGAAATACGGTAGCGCAGCTTGTAATACGAAAAGTGGAGCGCGTGCATTCAGGTTGAAGGTGGCTTCGAAGTCAGATAGTGCGACTGAGCCCATCGGCGCTGGGTTGACAACTGCCGCATTGTTTATAAGTATGTCGATCTGGAACTTGTTGTTGTCGCTAAAAGCCGATTTCGCCGCATCGATGAGTTGGTCCGGGCCGTCGGGTGTAGTAACATCAACTTTTGCTACTAATGTCTTGATAGAGTGATTGGCTTCTAGCTCTTGAGCTAGCGCGGTAGCATTTTCTGTTGAAGATTCCGAAGTGTAGTTGATAACGACGTTTGCTCCCTTGGAAGCCAGATGACGTGCTAAAGCAGCACCAAGGCCTTTTGAAGCTCAATCAGCGTCTTCTCTTCATTGGGATCACGAAAGGAGGAACATTCATACCCCGCGATGCACCAGTGATGATTACCAACTTGTTCTCCAAAGGTCTCGTCATTGTCGATGTTGGTGCTAAGTTGAGATAGTACTGTCGCTTCCTAGTTGTCCATCTTAGTCGAACGTAACTTACGTGATACTTTTATGCCCGCGTATATGCCAACAAATCTTGCATTGACACCAATAGTTTGGCGAATACTCCATCCCGGGTGCTGCATGTGACAATGATCCTTCGCGTAGGCGGAAGAACATGGGTATGCCCCGCGGGTGGGGATAGGCTTGGCCAGATCGGCGGAGAAAGAGTGATACATGTCACTGGCCCGCCTCACCTTCTTGATACTTTGGTTTTAGAACTGCGGGCCGCTGTGTCTCTCACTAACTGAGCAAACTTTTACGTCCTCATAACACTCTTGGTCAAACTTGTATACCATTTCATTTTGACTGCTTCCCATCGAATCATCCATCATGAGGCTGGCAAATCGAGTTGCAATGGTGACGGGCTCGTCCCAAGGTATCGGACGAGAGATCTGTCATCAGTTTTTTGTTGAGGGAGCCTTGCTCGTATGCGCTGATCTAAGACCTATTGGAAAGGGCGAAGACACTGCTACACACGAATGGATCATCAGCAAAGGCGGACGGGCCGTTTTCGTTGAGACAGATGTCAGTGTAGCCACCAGCTGGGAGGTACTCGTTGCGCGAGCAGTGGAGGTATATGGTCGACTTGACATGTAAGTATTCATCCAGCTATCCTGTATACAATCATATAGGAGGAGTAACTGATATTGTGGCCCAAAAGACTGGTCAACAACGCTGGCATCTGCACGGAGGCCAGCAACCCACAACCCATCGATCAAGTCGACGAGGATATGTTTGACGCCCACATGTGCATCAACACACGAGGAGTCTTCCTTGGCTGCAAATATGCTGTTCGTCAATTCAAGGCACAAGCGCCGCACTCCAATGGTATGCGCGGCTGGATTGTGAATCTCGCTTCGATGGTATCCAACATCGGTATGCAGGGCCTCAGTAAGTCATTCCACGCGAGAGCGTATGATCGTTTTGCTTTTGGCGTTGGGCTTACATGTTCCAGCTGGGTATACGGCGTCCAAGGGTGCTGTGGCTTCGATGACGCGAACCATTGCGCTGGATGTTGCGAAAGAAGGCATAGTCGCCAATTGCATTGCTCCTGGATGTAAGTCGCCCTTTTCAAGTATCGCATGGGCCACTCTAATATCTTTCGCCAGTTTCGCAAACTGCAATGCTCGAGGATGCGCTTGGTGGGGCCTTGTCATCTGCAGCGGACGCGGTCAAAGCCTCTATTCCTCGCGGCAAATTCGGCCACCCCCACGATCACGCAAGGGCTGCGGTCTATCTCGCTAGCGACGATGCGCAGTGGGTGACTGGACAGATTCTAAACGTCGACGGTGGCTTAACAGCGCAATGAACGAACGTTTAGCAAGATTGGCTTTTCATCGGGTCGAATGAAGAATACCTAGGTACCTAGAGTCTTTGGAGTGCTCCCTTCGTCTTCGGTGACGTCTGGAGTTCTTGCCAGCTTTCAGAATCGAATTTTGTCTAGAACATTAGAGCTCTCGCACGTATCGCAGGTCCATACCGGTTGTGGTTGTGCCTGCATGGCATGCAATGTGCCGGCAGCGGGCGAATTTCAAGGATATCGCGCTAGAGCCCGTTTTGGCCGCTCTTCCGTCTTCCCCGCCCGCGACGGGCATCCGTGCGTGACGCTTCCCTCTCATCCTTTCCTCGCGGTATTGGCCAGCCACGGCTCTTCCTACTTTCTTCTCATCTAGTCACTCGTGTTGCTATAGGAAGATTCATCGGTTGGCTGCTATCTCCTGGCACACGGCGAACCCCGGGGGTGGAAAGCGACGTGGGGCCGGAAGCGGCGCGTGGGTTCGAGAATACCACCGTGCCGCGTCCTCACATATCACATACGGAAAGCGCGCTTCATTGGCAGCCTTGACTGCTCGACCTTCGCATTATTTCCAGGTCTCGTCGCTAGACTTGGGTGTCGCTGCAACGCGCTACTTTGGGAGGAGGATGCGACCTTGGCAGGATCATTGCACCAGCATGACGAATTACCAACGTTGGGACGTACCATCTTGTCTCAGATTCCGAAGAGAATGTGCGTGAAGCTCAAGACGGTAGCAGTAGTGTTCATCTTCCTGGATATGTCACGTCAAGGGATCCATGAAAGGGGACACTTACGATGCACGGGTGTTTCCTACCGTCAGCACATAAAGTAGTCATGAGGAAGGCGATGAGAGTTCATTGACCATAATGTCTGGCCCTACGTCCCCCTCGTTGGCTTTGGCCGTACTTGTTTTGCTTCCTTTCGATATCATCACCTGGGCGCTTCGCTTCCATGTCCGACTTTCTAGAAAAGCATGGGGGCCGGATGACTGGTCTATGGTAGTTGCAATTGTATGAACTAGTTGGCTTCTAACAATGCAACATTTGCTTATCAAGGACAGCCACTATTCATCATATCAACAATGGGTATGCTTGGAATCGCCTTCACAGGAGGTGGAAAGAGGGACGACGAATTCACAGCCAACGAGAAGCAGACAGCTATGTTTGTAAGTTAAGCAGCGTAACCGCGAGATGATTCATGCTCACTATAAATAGTGGTGGTCAGTTCTGCCATGTCACATACTGCAAGCTCGACAATAGTTGACTTCGTACAGGTTCATCATGCAAACCATGTTCTGCCTTGCTGCCATCCCCGTCAAATGGGCCATTTGCTTCACCCTACTCCGTATCGCCAATGGCAAAAAGGCATATGAGTGGTCAATATATGCGATTATGGCGGCGGTGGCGTGTGTCATGGCCTCGACGACCATATACGAGTTCTTCCATTGCACACCAATTGCGATGAACTGGAAGGCTGTAGAGGGCGGCACCTGCAAAGCGCAAAGCAACATTACTGGATTCAGCTTTGCGCTTTCTGCGGTTTCAATCTTCTCCGATTGGTTTTGCGCAATCATGTGAGTTCTAGTGAAGCACATGCTTGTGTCTTGACTGATCGTTGCATAGTCCCATTCCACTACTTTGGAACGTCCAGATCGATCTTCGCGTCAAGATATCCATCATCGCCCTCCTCGGCCTCGGCATATTCGCATCGACAGCAGCCATCGTTCGCCTCACCGTAACACTCAATCTCAGCGCGACAACAGACTTCCTCTACTATGCTATGCCGGTAGCTGCATGGGCGCACGCCGAATTGGGGCTCGGCGTTGTCCTCGCAAATCTTTCGGCCTTGCGCCCCCTTCTCGAGAAGATGCTCGACCTTGGCTCGACATTGCGCAGCAGCAAGAAGCGTACCGGTGATCAGGCGTCCGGTGATCCATATATGGAGCTTGAGGAGGGTGTCGGCAGTAAGAAGAGGACAACGCTATCGAAGAGGCTGAGCGGGCGAACAGAAATCAAAACAGCTGTTGGTGTCGGAGAAGATCTGGATGGTAACTCATCTCTAGGTGACGATGATAGGTTTACGCGCAACATTATGAGCCGACACGGGCCGCACAACATACAGATAGACCAGGAGTATGAGGTTAGCTACGAGAACACTAAGGGTTATTGAATGTATTGGCGTCTGTAGAAACGCCATCAGAAAGCAAAAGACACCCAGAGGGGATGATTCAACATTCTGTGCCTGGTGAGCCGTGTTACGTAGCGATAGATGATGGCCTTTCAGAGCCAGCTTCCACTGAAACGATTAAATCCCACATTTAAACCGAATTCGTGAATGCTGTAGATCTATTCCGCTTGTATTGAGGGCTCATCAGTTCGCCCACGACTGACCCCTGTCACTGATGCATGGTAGTTTAGCCACGCCAGCGGCTAGTATCGATGCCTCAATAGTCACAGAGCGACATGCAGTAACCCTGTCTGAGCACATATATTGGAGCCCTTACATGTATTGCCCATTACTCGGCAGATTCTACAATGACCGCTAACCTCTGGTCCGAGTGTTGAGCACAAGCTCAAAGCTTGTAAGAAGGCGAAGCCACTTGTTTCGGCGACTGGCATGTACAATCTCCTTCGTTGAGACCAGAAATCCCTTAAGATCAACTTTTTTCGCTCTGGCCATTGCGCTAGTGGGTCAATGTTCCTGCCATGACTCTGCATACGCTACTGCATTCCGCTGTGCAGGTGTCATGGCGATCAAGATGTGGACTACGCGAGGGAAGCGATGGCAGTTTTGGGCAAGCCCATAGCTATATCGATCTCGACATCATCTTGTTTTAGTAGAGTCGTTGATTCTATACACCTTAACTGTCGTCTTTGTCTTCACCTTGATCTCCCACGCTTTTTTCTCTAACCTCAAGGCAGTAGCCTCGTTGAACAAAATGCCTCACCTCGAAAGCAATCTTACGCCACCAGACACCTTGCCCGAGAAGCACATTCCCGGACACGACACATCCCCCATTTCTCTCACTCCCGAAGAAGCGGACCGGTTACGATCCGAGGCCCTTTCGACTGATGTCTCCAAGTTACGGCATGGTTACTTCTTCAGTGCAAGAATCGTAGGCTCGTTCTCTGGAACTGGAATTGTTGTGCTTGCGACATATTTCCAGTTCCAAGCCTTAGCTGCTGCGATATCTTCCGTCAATGCAGACATCGGGCCAAGCGCCAACGTTGCCCTCGTCAGTACAGTATGGACTGTGTCGCAGCCTATCTCTCTCTTACTGTTCGGCCGACTCAGCGATCGCTTTGGGCGCCGCAACTTTGCCTTGGGTTCATGCGTGCTTGCAATCATTGGTGGTATCGTCGCGGCCACAGCGCAGTCTATCGAGACGTTGATTGGAGCCGAAGTTATCATGGGCATCGCATCTGGAGTGCCAGCAGCCTATCCACTTTTGGCTGGTGAGCTCGTGAGTAACAGGTACAAATATGTTGGTACTGCTCTAGTCGTCGTGCCCAATGTCATCGCAACGGGCTTTGGGGCATATATTGGTCTGCGATTGGTTCAGGTAGCTGATTGGCGATGGATCTTCTACATATACATTATGATGATGGGTTAGTCAGCATTCATCACGA